GATTGAATTTCAGAAATTGCACTTACCTCATTCACTTGTTGTTGCCATGGGGTGCCTCTTTGTCTAACACCTTCATATTGTTGTGCATTCAAGGCTCAATTAGCAATTAAAACCTTGGCAGCCACGGGTGTTTTGTCAACCAAAGCACCTCACGCCGAGGCATCTAGCATTTGTCTCTTAATTGGAAGAAGTCCTTCGTAGAAATATTGAATTAAAAGTTCTTCCTTCATTTGATGTTGAGGGCATGATGCAACTAAAGTCTTGAAATGTTCATAATATGCTGGAAAAGACTCCCCTTGGTTTTGTTGAATGCCGTTAATTTTCTTCCTCAAAAGAATCACTCTTGAAGTTAGGAAGAATTTCTCTAAGAATGCCCGCTTCATGCTTTCCTAAGAAGTGACAGTTCCGAGTGCCAATTCGTATAGCCAATCTTTAGCCTTTTCCAAAATAGAGAATGGAAAGGCCTTCATCTTCAAAATGCTCCCATCGACATTGATGGGTGTCATGCTTGAACATACCACTTCAAACTCCTTAAGATGCTTGTTTGGATCTTCCATGGATAGCCCATGGTATTTGGGAATGTGATGCAACAAGCTAGACTTCAATTCGAACTCATCGGTCTTGCCTTGGGCGGCCATAGGATATTGAATGCATAAAGGCACGGCGTTGTCTAATCCTGAGAATGAAAGTTCTTTGATTGTTCGATTGTCCGCCGCCATGCTTTCTTCTTCTTTAAATTCAGATTCGGAATCTAAACTTGAACTAGGTGGATTAGGTTCTGGTTGCTTCCTCTTTCTTCTCAAGGTTCGTTCAAAATTGTCGTCAAAATCCAATATGTTTGCACGAATAGGTTGAGAACGACGAGTCATAAACTAGTACCTGAAACAAAGAATAAAAACAAATCAACAACCAATTTAAAAGGCATGGCAAACTTAAACAAAAAGACACAAAGACACATATTAGACACTTTGACACGACACAAACAAAAAGGATTAGAAAGTTTGCTAATCCCCGGCAACGGTGCCAAAATTTGATGTGAAAATTAACTTGACACACAAATTAAACCCTATTTGTGACAATTGTAGTAGATATGTAAGTAGGGATCGTTCTAGACCGGGGATTAACTAGGGATGCTAATCAATACAAATAAGACTCAAAAACACTAAACTAGACTCTATAGACTCAAAACTAACTTAAAACACTCAAAACAGCAACACACACTCAAAAAGATTCAATTTTAGACCTAACAAGTGATTTTGACGAAAATAAAACTTAACTTGACTCAAAAGACTAAAAGAAAACAGGTTTTGACTCAAATAACAAGACTAAATGAAAGGGGGATTGTTTTTAACGAAATTAAAACTTAAAACAGAAACTTTGCATAAAACACTTTGTAAAAACGAATTTAGGTGAATTAAATGGGTGAAAGGCTAGTTAGAGGGTCCTTCTCCACACATGATATATGCATATGAACCAATTTCTAGTTATTATTCTTTTAGACTATGAATGACAACGCCCCAAGTTAGTTGCATCACACAACTAACCCTCAAATTTTCCTTTTTTCATTGAATTGAATGAATACGCATTACAACCAAATTATCTTTTTCAAGTTCTTTGTATGAAATGCATAACAAAGTTACATATCAAAAGTCATGAAGTTTTGTGAAAATCATAAGCATTGACAAGGCATTCATCACTATGAAACGCACGAGACTTATACCAAGGATTTACTTAACATGATTATGACTAGCAACCTCCACTACTTGTGAATATAAGTGAATAACTATTACATGAGACCCCCTTATACTCTAGCATCAAATTCATGCATGCAAATTAAGTGTCGACCCCCAACCCACATACATAAACAAGTTTTAATAACTTAGATAAGCAAATCATATTCATGCCTTAAAAAACAATAACTGGATGGAATCAATTCATATAAAACATATAATCATGGCTTCAAATTCACCTCCAACTAAAAAGAAATTAGTTCCACATATTCATCATAATTGAAAACCAAACTAACATAAACATTGAACTAAAACTAAGGATAGAAAGAACCAAGAAACGCTCCACACTCCAATGGCATGCATGGCACTCCCTTGGATGTCAAATTGCACAAGTCCTCCTCTCCTTCCTTCCTTGTTTGCGGCACTAGGGTGATGTGGTGTGAATTGTGGTGTTTGATGGCTGAAAGTATGAATGAATGAATGAGTGAATGGATGGATTGAATGGTGCGGCAAGGGTTTGTATTTATAGGACTCAATCCCTAGGGAAATTAGATTAGGGTGTGGTAGAATTTAGGTGGGAAAAGGTTTGCACAACCCTAGGGGAAAAGGACTAAGACTTGGCAGAAACCAAAGGGGAATGGGATAAGGAATACATGGCATAAACTTGGGGTTTCTAGAAGGATATGTGCGGCACATTTGTAGGAGAAAGATAAGGCTTCTAGAAAGGATGTTTGAGATAGATTTCTGGACCTAAATGGACAAGGACTCACGGCATAGGTATAAAGGAGGGATTACAACTCCTAAACCTACAAGGAATGGCCTACATGTGGTCTACAAAGGGATTAGGCTTCTAGAATCTGAATTAGGTGTTTAAATGTATAACTAATCCCTTCTAAATAGCTATATTTATGGCACAACCTGATTTGGATAGGATGAGATAGGATAATGTTAGATTTAGGAAAGGATAAGGTTGGATAGGATAAGATAAGGTTGGATAAGGTTCCTTATTTCTTGCTCTTTCCTTATCTTCTTTGCATTTGAACTTCTTTCTCCAGATTTGTAGCCTTTCCTAGCCTCTCTTGACTTTAATTTCGTCCTTCCACTTTGCTCCATAGTTAAGCTACCCAATCCATGCCCAAAACTGCTCCAAATGGCTCGAAAATGCACTTTCTTGCTCCTTTTGCCATTAGGACCATAAAACATACAAAAATAGCTTAAAAGACTATAATAAGTAATAATTAACTAACTAAATGGAAGGAAACAACATAACTAAGTAGCATAAATATGCTAATATTGGTATGTTTGGAACGGTGAAAGAAATAACGGATTAGTCCTTCTACTGCAGGCATTATTTTTTTCTTCCAAAAAAAAATAAGAAATACTCATGGTAACCATTCGAGCAGATGAAATTAGTAATATTATCCACGAGCGTATTGAGCAATATAATAGAGAAGTAAAGATTTTAAATACCGGTACTGTACCTATCAGTGGCACAACTTAGGACACAAAAATAGGTCTTCTAGAACCTGATATTTAGGTGATTTAATATGAAAAGAAGTCCTCTTTGCAGCAGGAATTAAGGTAGCAAAAGATTAGGATAGGATAAGATAAGATAAGGTTGGATAAGGTTTGGATAAGATAAGGGTTGTTTGGATAATGTTCCTTCTTTGCAACTGATTCCTTATCTTCAATGGTTCCAAATTTGTTTCTCCAGATATTAAGCACATTCCTAGCCTCTGTTGAACTTCAAATTCGTCCATCCACCTTGCTCCATATGCAAGTTATCCATTCCATGCCCAAAACTTCTCCAAATATCTCAAAAATGCACCTTATTGCCAACTTTGCCATTAGGACCTACAAACACACGAAAATAGCTTAAAACACTATAATAAATGGAAACTAACTATGTAAATGCAAGAAAAAGAAGCTAACTAAGTTGCATAAATATGCTCCGATCATATGCAAATAGCCAAAGCACATTAATCATTTCTTAACAAGAATAGACAAAGCAATGAAGCAATAAAGCAACAAACCACTATCTTCACAAGAATAAACAAAGTAACAAACCCATTATCCAACAACTTAGTAACCATTTCGAATTAAGAAAGCATAAACCACCTTTTCAAACAAGAATAAACAATGCTACTAGAATAAATAAAATCCACATTTAACCCATTCCAACACCCTAGGAACCATTTCAAATTAACAAAGTATAAATCCACCTTTTCAAACAAGAATAAACAATGCTACAAGAATAAACAAAACCCACATTCAACTCATTCCAACACCTCAAGTACCATTTTAAATTCACAAAGCATGAATCCACCTTTTCAAACAAGAATAAACAAAACCCACATTCAACTCATTCCAAAAAATAAGTCCAGTATGCATTTGGAATCATCAAAAACACAAAAAAAACCTTACAATAGGTAGGCGTCGTTTCGTCGGGAACCTCACGCATGTACCACCCCATGTACCACCCCTTTCCAACACCAATGAAGTTAGGGAAGCGAATCAACAAGATGATTTGGGTTTTTTGCTAAATTTCTAATTTGAATGTTCAAGATTTGGAGTCACGAGAACTAGGGTTAGGGTTCTTCTTTTTCTGGAATTAGGAATGGAATTAGATCAACAGGATTTGGGTGTACCGGGGGGAAAAACCAATTCGAAAGGCACAATTTACAACGTTCCGTTACTTTTTTTTAATTTTTTAAAATTTAATTTAAATTAATTTTTTTAATTTTAATGGGCGAGGAACTGGGCTCTAGATGAAGCCATGTGGAATCCATCTGGGCGAGGAACTAGGCCCCGGATCAAGCCACGTCAGCATTTAACTGAGAAATTCATTGACAAGCTAACAGAGGTATAACATTGAACCAAATTCTAAAGATGAGATATAAAATTGTCAATTTTAAAAGATGAGGTATGATAGTGTTGTGGCACCAATAGTTGAGGTAGTTTTTTGTCATTTACCCAAAGAAATTGGAGGTGGCCAATGCTGATAAAGGAATAATTCTCATACAGGGAAAGATTGGGATGTAAAAGGTCCTTATAAGCCCTGGTTCGGTATTGAAGTGATTTTGAAAAAATTAGGTATCAAAAATAGTTTGGAGAGTTTTTGGTGTTTGGTAAACACTCCAAATCAGCTTTATTTAAAAGTTTTAGATGAAAAAAACCAAAAACTTGAAGCTGCTAAAAGCAGCTTAAAAAAAACAGCGTATTGTGAAAAACACGGGTGAACAGTAATTCATTAATGAATTTTTTAATTTGCCAACATGGCGCTCCTTTATCCTGCCTTCCTCACACTTTCACACTCTCTCTCGCACGCCCTTTTCAAGCTTCCACCAAAAACCCTAGTGATTCTCGTTCCTTTTCGGCAAACCCGAATCGAAATCAGGATCTCTTAAGCCCTAATCGCAGCTATCTCACAACATCGTGAGCTCCGTCTGCTAAAACTGTGAGTGTATTTCTTGCTCTTCACGTTAAATTTAACAGATTTGTTAGCTTACTGCTGAGTTGTGCCCCGAGTTGATCAAATGCTTGTTCGTGTGGGTTCTTACTATCACGGGTCAGTTTTAACATAGGAATTGGATTAGAAAAGATAAATATTTGGGGGTTTTCTGTGGAATTTGCTATTCTTGAAATGTTGCTATGGTAAGTTTTCCCAGATTTTTTAATCGGTAAGATTTGGTTTGCTTGTTCTTGATTTGAATATGTTGTTTTTTTCCTTATTCATATAGCAAAGATTTTCGATTAGGAATCGATTCGATTATCTTCTCCCTCAAAACCTCTCCGCCTCTTCCTCTGTTGCCTGCCGCTGCACCTCGTCATCCTCCTCCTTTTCCTCTGTTGCCTACCGCTACACCTCTGGTAAGCTTCTTTTGTCTAAAATTTTGTTATTTATTTGTTTGGATTTTTAAATTTGGGGATGGGGAAAGTGAGTGAAAGAGGGGTGGGAAGTGAGAAGGGATGAGTGTATGGGTGTTGGGAAAAAAAAAATTAGGGATGGAGGGTCGGCAAAAAATTAATTGGGGAAGGTGATATGGTTTTCTTCTTCATTATTTAACCTGTTCTCTAAACTAATACTAGGCAAAGGTACTCCGCATTCAAGAAAGAGTGACCGAGTGAATCAAAATGAGTAATTAAACAATCATCTGGATGATGGCTTTTCACCTTTGTCCACAGGTTAATCTCTTCTCCAACGGTTCTCATTTGTGTCTAGTTGACATATGAGAATATTGTAAAAGATATATTTCAGTTGCTTTGAAGGTTATTCACCATCTGTTTCTTTGCAAGGGGGACTCTGACTCTGGTAGTAGTACCTAAAAACATGTTTGGTTTTATTCTTCGTTGCATCGATGTTTCAAAAGCTTCTGTTGATTTCATTTTAAACAAAACATGAGGCATGACGCTGGAACACTATATCTCTGTTGCTGTCTAGTGTCTCGAAAAAAAAAAATGCCTGCTATACAGACACTATACGAAAACGTGTTGACAATCAAATTTTAACATATATATATATATATGCAGGTAGAAGAGGCTTAGGCTTAGATGTTGCTGGACTTTACATTAAAAAACACTCTTTTGGTGCCCCAAATCCTTTTGAAGTGGAGACACCAACAATTCGTAAACGCTTCTCCCCCATTTCTGTTCCCGTTTCCATTCCATCTGAAAATGTTGCTTTCGGCACTACTCCTCTGAAGCCTAGAACTGTTGCAGATGAAGAGAACAAGACTCCCAAGGTGATGCCAATCTTCACGCCAACGACACCATCAACGGTGTTAGTTCCCATGCAGACAACTATGACCCCAGCTCCTCCTCCACCAGTTCCTTTCGCTACCAACTTAGTTCAAGAGATTCCTGAGGAGATTGAGTACTCATTTGAGGAACGAAGAGCTGGTTTTGTGCTCCCAAAAACACATGTCAAGTCGATGATACAAGTTTGATAGGTTAATTAGTTACAATTTGGAGAGAACTTGAGTTAAAATTGTTGTTTTAGCATTTCTTTTTCCTTTTGTATTGGATTTTTTTCAACTTTCAAGTCAATTGTAATTGCCTTTCCTGGTTTTATTATGTACATAGCCTACAACCAATGAACATGGAACAAAATTATCAAGTTGAAGGATCATATGAGATAGAAGCATTAAGAAATAGAATAGCGGCAAGTTTGATGAATGCATCTAGTTAGACTACTTTTAAGTACATTAACAATATTTCAATTGAAGTAGTTTGTCATACTAATTAATATTTAAGATAAGGTTTATAAATATTTTTCTTTTAAAAATAAAGTATATTTAGTAATTCACCTTTATTTGTTAAAAAAAAATTAATAGCATATCTAGTATCATAACATTTTTAGTCATTTCACACAGTCACAATTGTTTTACATAAAAGTTTACCAAACACTGTCATACTGCTTTTTTTTTTTTCTCAAAAGCATTTTTACAAAAAAGTTTACCAAACACTCTGCTGCTTTATTTCACAGCTGCCTATTCTCACAACACAGCAGAAGCAGTTATTTTTTCAAAGCATTGCAGTACCAAACCAGCCCTAAATCTTGATGATGTGAATAAACTGGACCAGTTAAACAAGTTAGCTGGTGGATTTGATTGGTTTGGTTTGGGTAGTAGAGTTATCATAATGACACGACATAGGAAGTTGCTCGCTCTTTATCAGTTAAACCAATATACAAGGTCAACGAATAGGACCATGATGATTGTGTGAAACTGGCAAAAACTATAGTAGACTATGCTAAAGGACTTCCATTAGTTTTGACAGTTTTTGGTTCTCTGTGTCACAAATGAAACTTGGGGATTTCCACCTAAACAGCCGACTGATGAGGCAGTAAAGCTCAGTTTTGAACTCCCTACTACACAGTCGATATAATCTTTAGCAATTATCCCACCCCCTATCCAATATCCCAACCACAATACGAGTTGATCTTTGTCACTAATACCTCTTGTGGGAGCCAACATGTGCACTTATTTCTATGTTTCCTAAATCCTCTTTTTGCTTTGAATTAACCACTGATTCTCTCTCTTTCGAAAAATGTTGTCACTCCAGCTGAGGCTTGTGTTGGAAAATAAAAAAGGAAAGTATTTTAGAAATATGATATACAAATGTCTGGAAAAGCTCTATTGTTATTTCGTGAGGCAGCCCATATTGAGCCCACTAGTTCGATGCATCAAACCACTACCTCTCCCACCCCTTCCTCTAATGCTAACTATCGATCTGGATACCTGAATGCCAAGTATGGCTCGTAATAACCTATCTTTCAGATGGTCATCATTCAATTAAAAAAAAAATCTCCGTTTCAAAACCATACATGAGATTTTAATTAGTAATTTTATATGATTTAATTAGGTTTGATATGATTTGATTTGGTCCAGGTTTTCTTGTGTTATAGACAAATGATTGTTTTGATTTATTTTCTATTATTGCTCTTTCGTAATCTTATAAATACCTCCTTATGGAGAAGAATAAAATATTGTAGTATTTGAGAATTGTGAGATTGTAGAGAATTCTAAATCTACCCTCAACCCTTTATTTTCAACTTAGTATCAAAGCAGAGTTCGATTCTTGGTTGAACTTTGCTATGAGCGCCTCCTTGTGGGTGCATGAAGCTAATTTTCTTCTTGCACCCACAAGCCATGAACCTGAGGGTGAAGATTGTCTACGATTGTTAGAAAAAGATAAATTTCCATTGCCGTGAAGAAAAGAAAAGAAAGGAAAAAGTTGTGGTTTCACTATGTTGGATAAGAGATTAGAAGAAAAACAGAAGTTTTGTCAAGGTAGGATACGTTTCATATGATGAAGGCTTTTGGGGTTTTTTTTTATTTTTTTTATTTTTTTTAATTTAGTTTAATTATGAGTTTGAGGAAGAGTAAAAAAAAACAAGAATGAAAGAAGAATTGTAGGAAAAAAGAGATTTGATGGTTGGGGCTTTCGAAAAGAGACGTTAGTTTTAGTTGAACTTTCAAAAAGATTAGTGTTTGTTTCAACTGGACTTTCGAAAAGAGGCGTTGGTTCCAACATATCATGAGATTTATTGATCGGATTTCGAAAAAGGACGTTAGTTCCAATTACACTTTCAAAAAGATTAGTGTTCGTTCCAATTGGGTTTTCGAAAATAGATGTTAGTTCCAAGGATTATGATTGGTTCGTCAAGCTTTCGAAAATAGACGTTTGTTCTAGTTGGGCTTTTGAAAAGATTGGTGCTAGTTCCAACTAGGCATTTGAAAAGAGGCGTTAGTTTTGACGGATTGTTATTTGCGAGGCTTTCAAAAAAATTAGCGTTAGTTACAACATATCAATGAAGATTTCCTTCTTAACAAACTCATGATTTCACATCATGAGTTTGAGGGGGAGTGTTGGAATAATAATGAAAGTATTTTAGACATGATTTAATTAGTGATTTTATATGATTGAATTAGGTTTGATATGATTTGATTTGGTCTAGGTTTCCTTGTCTTGTAGACAAATGATTGTCTTGATTTATTTCGTAGTATTGCTCCTTTGTAATCTTATAAATACCACCTTATGGAGAAGAATGAAATATTTGATAGGAGCATATTTATACTACTTAGTTATGTTGTTTCCTTGATAGGAGCATATTTATACTACTTAGTTATGTTGTTTCCTTGCATTTAGTTAGCTAATTACTTCTTATTATAGTGTTTTAAGCTATTTTCGTATGTTTGTAGGTTCTAATGGCAAAAGGAGCAAGAAAGTGCATTTTTGAGCCATTTGGAGCAGTTTTGGGCATGGAATGGATAGCTTGCATATGGAGCAAGGTGGATGGACGAATATGGAGTCAAAAGAGGCTAGGAACATGCTACAAATCTGGAGAAACAAGTTTGAGACAAAGAAGATAAGGAAAGAGCAAAAAACATGGAACATTATCGAAACAACCATATCTTATCCAAACCTTATCCTATCTTATCCTAACCTAATCTTGTTCTACCTTATTTCCAGCTGCAAGGGGACCTAAATACCTAATTTCTAGAAGTCTTATCTGTTCCTAAAAGGGTGCCGCACCCTTCCCTTTTATTCTTTCTAGAAATCCCAATTTATGCCACAAAATACATAGTTTCTAGAAGCCCTAATTTCTGGTGAATTTCCTTAACCTTTTTCCTCTTAGATTCTGATTTGAATTGACCTTATTCCTTATGGATTTGGATTGTGCAAAGCCTTTTCAGAAATTAATTAGGTTTTGACCCTTTTCTTGAGGCCCAAGCCTTGTGCGGCACCCTAGTCCTTCTCCCACCTGATTCCTACCAAACCCTACGACCTAATTCTGATTTCCTAGGGTTTGCCGTGCACTATATATATAAATTTAAGTTGTGCCGCACCCCCCTTACACACCACACAGCCATTCATTCTTCCATTCATTGATTCAACCACACCACCCACCATATATTCAGAAAATCCACCTTTGCCGCATTTGGGGGGAGAAGAAGGATTTTGCCGTGGCTTCCATTGGAGACTTTCAGAGTTCTTTCTTCCCTTGTTTCATTTCCATGTTTATTTTAATTTGTTTTTCAATTGTTATGAACATGAGGAACTAATTTCTTTATAGTTAGAGGCGAATTTAAAGCCATGGACATATGTTTTATATGAGTTGATTTCCTCCAGTTTTTGTTTCTTGAATTGTGAATGCAATTTACTTAGCTGATTTATTGAGAACTTGTTCTTGTATGTTGATTAAGGATGCATACTTAGTTTTCATGCATGAATTTGGTGCTAGAATATAAGGGAATTTCACCTAATCATTACGAACTTATATTCACAAGTAGTAAAAGGCACTAGTCATGATTGTGTTAGTAAATTCTGGGCAAAAGTATCATGCAGTTCATAGTTACGAATGCCTTGTCAATGCTTATGATTTTCACAAAGCTTAATGATTTTTTATTGTATCTCTATTATGCTATTCATCTAGGGAACTTGACAAGAATAATTTGGTTGCCGATGCGTATTCCATCCAATTCAATGAAACTAGGAAAATCTGAAAGTTAATTTGTGCCTGTCACTATTAATTTGGGGCATTGTCATTCATGGTTTAAAGGGATAATAACTGGAAATCAATTTGTGTTTCATATGTGCATGTGTGGAAAAGGACCCTCTAGCTAGCCTTTACCCATTCAATTCAACCAATTTAGTGTCTAATCTGTTTAGTTTTGTAATCTGCCTAGTTTAATTAATTTCGTCAAAATCAATCCACTTTAATATTTTGTGTCTTAATTTAGTTAGAATATGTTCGAGTTTAGTTATATTAGTATTTTGAGTCAAGTAAAGGTCAAAATTCGTCCAAATAACCCATTAGTTCTTATTTGTGTTAGTTTTGTTTCAATTCGTCAGAATCTGTCCATATTGAGTCTTTTGAGTCTTTTTAGTTCAATTTTCGTTCATATCACTTTCTAGGACCTGTTTTGAGTCAATTTAACTTAGTTTGTGTGTTTTGAGTTTATTTAGCATGTTTTGAGTCATTAGAGTCTAGTTTTCTGTTTTTAAGCCTAGTTTTATGTTTTTGAGTCAGTTTTGAGTAGATTAGCATCCCTAGTTAATCCCCGGTCTAGAACGATCCCTACTTGCATATATACTACAATTGTCAACAATAGGGTTTAATTTGTGTGTCAAGTTAATTTACACATCAATATTGAAGTAGTATTTAAGAATTGTGAGATTGTAGAGAATTCTAAATTTACCCTAAACCCTTTATTTTCAACTGCTTGTGTTTTGACATGCATCGTTTTCACCTGAAGACCTCATGATGCACCTTCACAAGGGCGCACACAACCGAAATATAAGTTAACACTCTTTTCTTTGTTTGCCCCTGAATTTCCTATGATTATATAGCTGTTGAAGCCATTGGGTGAACCTGGTCACCTATGATTTAATTACTCTATGAATATGGCTTGGTAACCTATATTGACAAACAATATAGCGCAGGAAAGGGAGAATGGGCTTGACAGCACAAATACTCTGGTTGCGTACGATCCCATCAAATTAGTTTGTGTGTAAATAAAGATAAGGCTTTTTAATCAAAATGGTCCATGAGATTTGCATAACACATC